GTTTCGCCATTCCCTACACACAATCACTTGTGTCACGAATCAGGTCAGTGTTCTTGTTTAGCCCCATCCGAATAGTCAAGCTATCCTATGTATTAATCTCTTTGCTTTCCACCGTATCTCTTTTCTTGGATCTTGTCAGTCACTAACATGCTCCAGGGCCCTTTCCTTCTCAGATAATGTCCGAGAAACGCCGTCTAGCTACGTCTAATTTACCTACACAAAAATATGTTGATTCCACACGTGAACTGTAACAATTAAGCGCGTGTGCACTTACCTCTCTCTCTCTCTCTCTCTCTCTCTCTCTCTCTCTCTCTCTCTCTCTCTCTCTCTCTCTCTCTCTCTCACACACACACAAACACACATACACACAGACACAATTTGAATGTAAAGGAAGAAGTTTGTGCACACGTTTTCAAACTTTTAACGGAAACATCGAAGAAAATTAACAATTTACAGAATCCAGTTTGATAACAGATTTACTATTTCAGAAAAATTATTGTTTTGGGGTGATCTGAGACCGCACGCACACAGACGTTTTGCTTTTTTTTTTAGATGTGGTTGGCGAAAATTGTCATAAAAGTATATTCACGAACTTGTGAACGCCCTAATACGCCAACGGTGGAATAAACAGGCTTTTTAAATTTTCTGGCGCAACCAAATAGTACGCAGCACCAGCACCTGTTTTAGGCATCATTGTTTTTCAATGCTACTGTAATATAATTTTTTGGTGATGAAGTAAGCTTTTTTTTTCTTCAAGACAGTTTTTGGTGAGTACCGGCACTTTCGTTTTCTAGACAAAAAACCGTCTGTCTATCTCTGTTTCACTGGCACACACTGTTATAGTCCATCTAGAAACTCTTACCCTAATTTAGAATGATATTATTCAGCAACCATTTCACCTAAATTACTGATGTTTTGCATAGATATTTGTACTCGTTATGTTATTTGTATGAAATTTTTAAAGTTACGTCTAACCAAAATGTAGAGCAGCTTACGTAGCAGTTTGTCCATTGTATTACAGTGTCAGAGAAGAATTCTTGAAGCAATTTCTGACTGGAACATGCTGGGGTGCAGATGCCAACACTGTACGACAAGTTTACACCGACCAAAACTGGAGTATGGCATGGGAGCATCCTCCACTGCAGCCAAACTAAACCTATAAAAACTGGAGTATGGCATGGGAGCATACTCCACTGCAGCCAAACTAAACCTATAAAAACTGGAGTATGGCATGGGAGCATACTCCACTGCAGCCAAACTAAACCTATAAAAACTGGAGTATGGCATGGGAGCATACTCCACTGCAGCCAAACTAAACCTATAAAAAACTGGAGTATGGCATGGGAGCATACTCCACTGCAGCCAAACTAAACCTATAAAAACTGGAGTATGGCATGGGAGCATACTCCACTGCAGCCAAACTAAACCTATAAAAACTGGAGTATGGCATGGGAGCATACTCCACTGCAGCCAAACTAAACCTATAAAAACTGGAGTATGGCATGGGAGCATACTCCACTGCAGCCAAACTAAACCTATAAAAACTGGAGTATGGCATGGGAGCATACTCCACTGCAGCCAAACTAAACCTATAAAAACTGGAGTATGGCATGGGAGCATACTCCACTGCAGCCAAACTAAACCTATAAAAACTGGAGTATGGCATGGGAGCATCCTCCACTGCAGCCAAACTAAACCTATAAAAACTGGAGTATGGCATGGGAGCATACTCCACTGCAGCCAAACTAAACCTATAAAAACTGGACAAAATACAGAACACTGGTCTCAAAATCATCACTCTAGGTATGAGAAGCTCACCAATCAATGAGCTGGAGGCAACTTCTGGTCTCCATATCTTGGACCAACAAAGGGAAGAAAGGGGAGCTTACCCTAAGAGACAAATTGTAACTCATGAACAACAACCCCATGTACAGAATTGCAAACAACTTTACCAATAAACCGACTGCAAAGAGAGTTTTCGCCATCTATCACATTTGTACTATGTCAAAAACAGTGACATCCTTTCTATAGATCCTTCAACATTGGAAATGATCCAGGCATACAACATAGACCTACAGCCTAACTGTCACAACAACAATTCCAGGCATAGACAGAAAGGCTGAAGAATGTAGACTAGTAATGCATGCAAAAAGACCCTTGTACATGTCTACAACTCTCACCCACAATCTGAATGGACACACGTATACCGATGGTTCTTTAGAGGGAGCAGAAAAAAATAAAGCAGCCTGATCGGTCATCATGTTGCAAGATGGGAGCACAGTAGAAACGGCATGCCCCTCGGGAAGACTCTCGACAAACTTCCGAGCAGAGCAGCAAACAATGATTGATGCAATCAAAGTGATTGAGGAATGAGAAATTAAACACAGCAAATTTGTTTTACTTTGTGATTGCAAATTAGTCCTCTAGGCGACTCAGAGGGATCCACGAGACAACATGGAGAGAGAACTGACCCGCAAGCTAAACAGACTCAGAAAACAATCAAATCGTTCTCCAGTGGATCCCGGCTCACTGCGGCATACCAGGAAATGAGTTAGCAGACAGACTTGCAAAAAAATGTAACAAAGGAGAAACAACACACTCATTAATTGTCATTACCATAAATCAAAGCACTCATCAAGGGAAAATACAAGGAATTGTGGAGAGAATGAACAGTAAACATCCACAAGACCCCATCAGCAGACTTAACAGAAAGGAACATACAAAAATGTGCCTTCTACGAACAGGACACTGCAGGCTCAACTACCACATGCATAAAATAAAGACTGTACAGTCACCACAATGTGCCTGTCAAACAGGACCACAAACACCTGAGCACATTTTGCAGACCTGCCCACTCTACCTACATCTTCGAAAAGACACCTGACCTCAAGAGCAAAGTGTGCAGAGCAAGATATGGGAAACCATGCGGGACCTGCTACTGACATGCGAGTTCATAGAAGCAACCCACCTGATAGTCTGATCTGTACCTACAAAACCGAAAAAAAAAAAAGAAGATGAAGATGATGCAAATTTCCACTGGTGGTGAGGGTTGGGAGGGGGTTGGGTGGGGGTTGGGAGGGGGTTGGTGGAGGGAGGGGGTATTGGATGGACCTGAACTTAAAACAAAATCAGTATCATCATCAGTGTTTGCCGTTACACGTTGACAGTGTATTCTCCCATTCTGCTCTATCCATGCAATTGTTTCAATATTAGGATGGAAGCCAGCCCACACATGAAGCTTCTTTCATCAATGTTCATCTTATGGTTTCTCTTAGGCATCCTCGTTTCCTCAGTCAATATCTTTCCTATTTCAGTTCCTTTGTTCGTACTCTACATATTATCATCTTTGTCTTATAACTAACGAACGAACCAATGAAGAATATTTTCAAAGCGTCACAAATTGGGCACGCATGCCCGTTTACAGTCTGTCCTTCCAATCACCCATCTTTCACACAGCAGTTGTAATTTACCAACAGGCATGTTATGTTCATATAATAATGTGCATATTATGAATATCAAAGAAGAACACAAAAGCATGGGTAAAGTGCATGCGAAAAAACCGCACGCGCATACACACACACACACACATACACCTATATGTACGCTCATCCATCACCCACTCACTTACACACATATCCCTCCCTTCCTCCCTCCCTCCCTCCCTCCATCCATCCATCCATCCATCCATCCATCCATCCATCCATCCATCCATCCATCCATCCATCCATCCATCCATCCATCCATCCATCCATCCATCCATCCATCCATCCATCCATCCATCCATCCATCCATCCATACATACATACATACATACATACACACACACACACATCCATCCATCCATCCATCCATCCATCCATCCATCCATCCATCCATCCATCCATCCATCCATCCATCCATCCATCCATCCATCCATCCATCCATCCATCCATCCATCCATCCATCCATCCATCCATCCATCCATCCATCCATACATACATACATACATACATACATACATACATACATACATACATACATACATACATACGTGTCTCACACACACACACGCAAACATACACATCATATACACCCTATTTAATACTAAATTGATAAAGCAATTTCAAGGTGGCATATAATCGCTTATGAGCACGAACTGAAAAGGCTTGCGATTAAGTGAATAGGGACTCTTTGTATTTTTTAGGTCCAGAGGTTCTATAAATGAGCAGCGGAGTCAGCTAAACTTGTTCTATATAAACCTATTCTAGGTTTAGGCAAAAGTAATAAATTTAGTCGCTTGCTGTTCGTAGGATTAGATTAAATTAACCGCTAAAGGTAGTTTGGAGTTTTTTGGGTAAAAAACAAATTTATTAATAAATTTTGCCTTGTTAAAAATTAAATAAATGACAATAGTCTTAGATGACTATAGAAATTATTTTTATCAGTATGTTTACTATCTGAAACAGGCGTAAAGCACGATTTTGAAGGAAACTTAGTCTTTTAACATTGGATTTGGCGCAACCATCCCAAACTGTGGAACAATAGTCGACATGTGTTTGGATGTAGGACACGTAAAATACTTTTCTTGTATCTTCGTCCAGAAAGTGCTAAATTTTAACAAGCTGATAAATTGTTTGTGCTGTTTTCTTACTTATGACACAAACATGAGAATTCCAAGTCAAATGACTGCCAATTGTAAGGTCTAATGTTTTGGTTTCCGTTACATTAACAATAGTTAATTTAGCAATTTAGAGATCAAGTGGTAGTTTGCGCAATGCTAATGTTTGCAATGTTGTCTGGTTGTTATAAGTATAGACCTAGTTTTATTTATGTTAATTTGCATGAGACAGGGGCCAACCAGAGAGATGAATGGAGGCGGGTGATATCTGTAGCAATGAACCTCAAAGGCTCGGAATGCTGAAGAAAGAGAAGAAAAATGATGAGAAACATAGGACACATTTCAGCACTGTCTTTCTAAACGGGCTATAGAAGACACTGACACAAGCTAGACTGACCAATGCTTATACAAGATGGCATCGTCTGAACACAAGACGAATGACTAACAGAAACCAAATGCGATACACAACAGTCCATGGTTGTGAATGCGTGGCGTCGCCACTGTTGCACAGATCGTCATCATTACAACATGCCCGCTTGACGCAGCCCCGCGTGGTGCGCAGTTCCGATGAACAGTTGATGAAATCGTTGTGCGGAATGCACTCATCGGCACAGCTGCGCACCGTTGACCTGTACTTGTTGTCGTCTATGTCGCTCTCCATCTCGAAGAAAACTTTCTGAAAGCGGAGCAGTGGAAACAGAATATATCATACAATATGTGGCGCAGTGGAAACACAATATGTCAGACAATAAGTGACATAAACAGAAAATGTCAGACAATATGTGACACCGTGGAAACAGAATATGTCAGATAATATGTGGAGCAGTAGAAACAGAATATGTCAGACAATATGTGGAGCAGTAGAAACAGAATATGTCAGACAATATGTGGCCCAGTGGAAAGATAATATGTCAGACACTATGTGGCCCAGTGGAAAGATAATATGTCAGACAATATGTGGCCCAGTGGAAAGATAATATGTCAGACAATATGTGGCGCAGTGGAAACAGAATATGTCAGATAATATGTGGCGCAGTGGAAACACAATATGTCAGACAATAAGTGGCATAAACAGAAAATGTCAGACAATATGTGACACCGTGGAAACAGAATATGTCAGATAATATGTGGAGCAGTAGAAACAGAATATGTCAGACAATATGTGGAGCAGTAGAAACAGAATATGTCAGACAATATGTGGCTCAGTGGAAAGATAATATGTCAGACAATATGTGGCCCATTTGAAAGATAATATGTCTGACAATATGTGGCCCAGTGGAAAGATAATATGTCAGACAATATGTGGCGCAGTGGAAACAGAATATGTCAGATAATATGTGGCGCAGTGGAAACACAATATGTCAGACAATAAGTGACATAAACAGAAAATGTCAGACAATATGTGACACCGTGGAAACAGAATATGTCAGATAATATGTGGAGCAGTAGAAACAGAATATGTCAGACAATATGTGGAGCAGTAGAAACAGAATATGTCAGACAATATGTGGCCCAGTGGAAAGATAATATGTCAGACAATATGTGGCCCAGTGGAAAGATAATATGTCAGACAATATGTGGCCCAGTGGAAAGATAATATGTCAGACAATATGTGGCGCAGTGGAAACAGAATATGTCAGATAATATGTGGCGCAGTGGAAACACAATATGTCAGACAATAAGTGACAAAGTGAAAACACAATTTGTCAGACAATAAGTGACACAGTGAAAACACAATATGTCAGACAATAGGTGATACAGTGAAAACACCGTATGTAATCTTAATATCTAAAAATACCATTGACCCACATAACATGTCATGCCCTCTAAACATGCCCTTGCCCTCAAGTCCTCTAAATATTCCATTTAACCACCTGACACTTCAGGCCGTCTAAATATACAATTTACCCACCTGACACGTCAGGCCTTTTAAATAAACCATTGACCCACCTGACACGTCAAGCCCTCTAAATAAAGCATTGACCCACCTGACAGTCAGGCTTTCCCCAAAAAAAATTCATTGACCCACCTGACACGTCAGGTTCTCTAAACAAACCATCGACCCACCTGACACGTCAGGCCCTCTAAAAAAATCATTGTCCCACCTGACACGTCAGGCCCTCTAAATAAACCATTGTCCCACCTGACACGTCAGGCACTCTAAATAAATCATTATCCCACCTGACACGTCAGGCCCTGTAAATAAACAATTGTCCCACCTGACACGTCAGGCCCTCTAAATAAACCATTGACCCACCTGACACGTCAGGCCCTCTAAATAAACCATTGACCCACCTGACACGTCAGGCCCTCTAAATAAACCATTGACCCACCTGACACGTCTGACCCTCCAAACAGCTCTTCTGCTCTGCGCGGGAATTCTCCTCGGGGTTCATGTCACAGTTGTCAGCGATGCAGTGCCAGCAGACTAGACCGTGGCTCCAACCTGCAACAGACAGGTTTTCTGTATAGTCCTCTGATGTAGAGACAAGATGATAATGATGGTGATGATGATGATGATGATGATGATGATGACTATGATGCCGACGAAGAAGATGGTGTGAAAAAGTGAATGCTGGGGATTATGGTGATGGGTGATGAAAACGATCAAGGTGTCAATGATGATTGTGATGTGATTGATGACAGTGATAGTCAAGTCGACATGATGACGAAAATCATGATGACTGATTTGATCATGATGAGATAATCTCTCTAGCAGTGAACTGGTAGGTCATGGCGTCGCATTGACTTTTAATACACACGGTGATCCTCATTGCAACAATGGGAATTCCCAGGGAATCCCAGAGAATTTCCCAATTTAGGGGACAAGGTCACAGGGCCAGGAGAACAAGCGACACGCGGGAAAAGTGTATCCCGTGTTCTGTGAGCAGGTGTAAGGAAAA